ACTGAAGCAGGATCCGAACGATACTTTGAATAAATTTGTTCCTTAAACCACGGTATGAAACTTCGATTGTGCTCTCGTACTATCCAATTCTCATTTCTATTCAGATTTAAACCTCGAAGAACACCCTTGTGCATTTCAGCATACGGCTCAACCTCAATCTCATTGTGCAGAACATACAAATGCACCTGATCCCGTTCGACCATTGACACTGTCACAACTTTATTTCCAATTAGTCTTTTTCCTTCTTTTTTCTCGACAATATGAGATTTGGGGAGTCCAATTGATTGAACATTTGACAGATATTCAGTGCAAAACTCAACCGCTTCTTCAACAATGTATCGTTCCGCAATACAACCCTCCGGTCGACTTCGGTTTTTCACGTACCCTTTTAAAATTTTCATATAACGTTCAGCAGGGTACATCCATCTCATATAAGCTGGTCCGCACAACTGTGTCTCTTTGACAAGATGAACGACTAGATGAACCATTATGTCAAAAAACGAGGGAGGAAAATACATTTCAAGCTCACATAAAGTAACAACCACCTCTTTTTGCAATGTTGGTAAGATCGCAGGATCGATCACCTTGCTGCATATTGACTTGAAGAAAAAACACAACTTAGTTATTGCGCTCCTTACTTTTTCTGGCAGAATAGAACGTATACCTATTGGTAGAAAATGTTCCATTATAACATGGCAATCATGAGTCTTTAAACTCTTTAACTTTAGGTCTTTCATTGACACAAGTCTTCTAATATCTGATGAGTAGCCTTCTGGAACTTTAACTTCACTGAGGAACTTACACAATATTTTCTTCTCCTTTCTAGATAGAGTGTAAACAGCAGGTGGTAGATATGTGCGTCTTCCTTTCGTCACGGGTGCCAATTCAGTTCTAATTCCCATGTTTAACATGTCCTTCCTTATGTTAATGCCATCCTTAGACTTTCCTTGTATATTGAGTAACGTACCAATGACACTATCAAATACATTTTTTTCAATATGCATAACATCGAGGAAATGTCTTACGTACAACGACTTCCAATATGGAAGTTCAAAAAAAATCGACCTCTTCTTCCACCCACTCGTGACAAGTCTATGTGCAAAAGGCTTGCCAAACTCAGTACTCACATCTTTCACCTTTTCAAAAATCTGATCACCTGTCAACATATGTGGAGCTCTACCGTGTTCTGCCTCTCCATTGAATGCCTTTCTCCACCCACGATAGTGATGATTAGAATTTAAGAATCTACGATGACCGAGAAAAACATTCTTCTGACAAAAGTTCAATCGCATCGTATCGGTTTCATCTTCACAAACAGGACACGCTTTTTGACCCTTAATGCTGTACCCTGATAGATTTCCGTACGCCGGAAAATCATTAATTGTTCCAAACAACATCGCCCTCAAGTTGAAACTTTCTTTCCTATACCCATCGTAAACCTCCACACCGGTCTCCCACAAAAACTTCAAATCTTCGACCAAGGGTGCCAAGTACACGTCTATGTCATTCCCTGGTTGTTTGGGCCCAGAAATTAACATAGATAGCATCATGTACTTACGCTTCATACATAGCCACGAAGGTAGGTTATATATCATAAGAATCACAGGCCAGGTGCTATGCGAGATACTTTGAATACCATGCGGGTTCATTCCATCAGTAGACAACGACAAGCGAAGATTTCTTGCTTCTTTTCCAAATTCAGGATAATCAATATCAACTTTCGTCCACTGTGGTGAGTCTGCCGGATGTCGCAACTTCCCATCAATAATTCTTTCATCTGCATGCCAAGTCAAGTGTCTTGAATCGGTCTCACTATGATACATGCGCCTAAATATCGGAATTATAGGAAAATACCATAACACCTTTTCCGGAGACAACTTTTCCTTATATCGAGGGGCACCGCATTTAGGACACTCATTTAACACTGCGTACTCGTTTCGAAATAAAACGCAATCTTTTGGACATGCATGTATCTTTTCATAGCTCATGCCAATAGAGGACAACATCTTTTTGGCCTCATACGTTCGATTGGGAAGAACATTATCCTCTGGTAGCATTTCTTTCACGAGGGCTAATAACTGTGTGAAACTTTTATCCGACCATCCGTTGTCCGCCTTTAAGTTGTACAACTTTAACACCGCAGACAATCTTGCGAATTTTGTACAACCATCATACAACGGTTTCTCTGCATCGCTTACCAACCTCTCGAACATTTTGGGACAATCCTCAAGATCTTCTTCAAGCGCTTCTGCAATCTCTTCGACTCGATCATAATCGTATGCGTCTGCGAAATCCTCATTTGAAGCATACGTCGTATTATAACTCGATTCAACATTCCCGCTACTTTTCTCACCATGCAAATTCCAACATGCATAACTTCTATCAATTCCATGCATCAGTAAATGCGATTCCAACTGAACCGCGTCAACCCGTCTCCCATAACAGCATCTCAAGCAAGGACATATCATTCCATTGGGTTCTCTGGCGTGCGCAACGGCAAACTTAACGAATTCTGATACCCCATCCTCATACTCTTTCGACAATCGATTGGCAGTCATCCATTTTTTATCCATGGTTTGACTATAGCAACTAATTAGTCACGCAACTATAGCAAAATAATAATTAATTACCTGTAAAGAAATTCAACATATCAGGTAATCAAATTCATAGTTATTCTTGCCTCACCTTAAGCATGTGCTAAACAACTCATCACTAATTACTAACTAGTGAAGTCGGATACTAGTGATTCAGTCTTGGATACAGGTAATAACAATTATATTCAAACAATAGTGAAGTCGGATTTCAAACAATTATATTCAGTCCTTATCTTACAAGTTAGCTTTGTCAAGTCTTAGTTAGGTTCATTAACATTCCTTCCCTGCCCAATCCCAGATGGTTCCCTAACTCAATAGTCTTGTACCATGCCATCAATAGCTTCAAAAATATTCACCATCATCTACCTTTCAAAGGGCTTACGCATACCTATATTGTTGGTGTAGGGCCTTTATCCTCCCTTCACTTATTTAATATAAGAAAGTAAGCATATAACTACTTAAATATATGTGTTTTCAATGCGAACATGTATACCATGATGTTTAATTAACATAATAATGTTCTAAAGCTATTGGTTTTGCCTATAACAATTTTATATAATTAATTATATGCTCTCATATCATATCTAGCTGTTAGATGATGATCTCGTGATTATAATAAAACCTGGTGTCTACTTAGTCTTATCAACTTTAAAAATATTGTTCTTGATATTTATCAGATATTTAGTTTTAAAAACTCTTAAATTTCTCACACCAACTTTAAATTTCTTTCACTAACTTTTATATTTATTTAATTATTATTTTAATAATCTCTCCCACTAACTTCTCACCAACTTGATTCATTCTTTATTATTTTCTCTGTTGTCTATACAATTTTCCTTTTGCATTAGTATAGTATTAAAATAACTAAAGTCCTAACCCAATTGAATACTAGGACTGACTTAAAAAAAACCAAAATTCAACCGCGCCAAATTGCACTGTATCTAAAAGAAACAAACCGTGATGAATAGTTCACAAACTGAATTGAACCAAGCTGGTTAAATTCGGTCCGTGAACTGACAATCACAGTTCGGTTGTTTTTGGTGCGATTTAGTTTGGTTTTTGGTTTTTCTTAACAGCTCAAGGAATAGGCAACTCAAAGCCCACCCTTCTGTGTTGCAGAATAATCAATACTTCATGAACAATAACATGAACAGCTATATAAAGTAAAGTTCATTTTCTAAACACAGAATTCCTCCACCCTTCAATCACATACTTCAACATGTGATCCACTTTCTATTGCTAGAGGTGACAGCCTGATAGAACAAAGCTATAATTCCATATCTTCAAGACTTCTAGTAACATATAAGCATGATCAAACACTCAAAATATGAATGACAGTGAAATGGATTATGGCAAGCAGAGAGTTAATGAGAGAGATAGATAATAGATATATAGCTAGATGTATATTTGATAGGATAAAAAAACATAACATATTGTTATTTTACTAAGCTTCTTTTGTACTGTGACCTTCACCTTTTATCTTTCTGTTCATTGGGCTTGATTTTTGTATATTGTCTCAAGTAATATTCCATAAATAAAGCTTTCCACGCGCTACTTATATTTAGTATATTCATCAGAATAGATTGACCAATTTTCAAGTTATATTTGAGATTTCCATTTGTTGCACTTAAGATGCTACCTAAGTAATAAGAGCTTATCCTTGTGAACTTAAGGTACAGAGTTCAAATGAGATAAGAAGTTGCATTCCTTCCATATATATGAATCAAAATATAATAATCAAGATTAACTAAATCTTTAGAATAAACTTTTGATAAGTACACAAGGATAGGATGTTAAACCTTGTCATATTGTTTTCCATAAAATAGTTTAGTTCAAATTTATTAGATTATTAATATAGTATTAAAATTAAAAGCTTCCCTACTCTTGATTAGTACTACTTAAAAGAACAAAGAAAAGAAGAAGAATTTCATTGCCTTGATGTAGTTATTTAAAATTCAAATCTGCCAGGTACCTGTCAAGTTTAAATTAAACACAGAGGTGTGTGGAAGGCACCAACAGATGTACATCATTGAACATAAAAACACAAAGAACACCGATCATATCATTTATCTAGTCAAACATGAAACCATAGGACCAAAGTAAATGTACCTTTTCAAAAAGTTAAATCAAAATTTACTGTTCCATGTGAAATTGTTTGAACCTTTTGTTATTAAATATTGCGTGATTTTTATTTGTTTTTGAACCATGAATATTAGATTCACGCAAGTTGTTTGAATCAGATTCACGTGTCTTAGTTTTACTAAAAGACTGTTTAGTAGTACCTAGTGCTATATAACCATTTTGTACCAGAATACAACACAACACAACCTAACACACTTCCATCCTTCAATCACTACTTTATTGTCCCTAGGAATCATAACTCACCACCCTCTACTCATCACTGAAATGGGAGGAAACAACAACCAAAGGAAATCAAAGTCATCATGGTCTGTTTTCAACATTTTCAAATCTAGTAGCAACAAGCAAAGAGGAGGAGGAGGGTACTATGATCAAGCTGCATATGCTAACAAAGTGTGGCCAAGTGATGAAGACAGAGGTAGTTGGGGTGTGGCTGATCCTGTCATTGACATGAGAGCTACAGCTTTCATTGCTCAATACAAGAAACGAATTTCTGAGTCCGAAATTCATCACTGTCAAGTTCAACCTGACCAGTAGAACTAAGCTTTTCTGTTTATCCTTTTTTTATTTGTTTGTTCTTAGTTTCGATAACGTAACACTACTATCCGACTCCTTTTATCTGTTCTACAATCTATTACAATACAAATACCAAATTCCAACATCGTTCTTCCCAGACTTTTTTTACCGGATCCGTACTAAGTGTTGCCTTTGACATTTTTACTATCGATGACTGACAATATATGAATGTCTATTAACGATTAATCACACACAAATCATCTAAAAGAGGGAAAAACACAAATGAACACCAACAACTTAAGTACTTGTGAATTTTAAGCTAGTATACACCTAAAATTAGGACCCGTAAATCCAACTTCATTTTCCTAACCCTCTAACATACCCTTAATTAGGAACAATCATGTAGAACATTTCACAAACAGTTAATATGCAATATCTAAAACTAAGAAAAATGAGTAAGAATTCTTACCTCAAACCAAAGAAATGGAAAAAGTGAAATGAACTTTTAGATCTTTCCTCTAACAAGTAACAGCCAACCTTCAAAATCCCTTGGGTTTCGTTCTTGCTAACTGTTGAAGGGTTTTGTAATAACAAGAACAAACACTCTAGTCACGATGTACACCAAAAACAACAATTACAGAAGCACAGGCTTTAATGATAGGAACACTTACTTGGATTGAAAATTTGAATTAGTCGTGGGCCGAAGATTCGACGGTGATGGTGCTAGGCGTTTGGAGTTACAACGGAGGAGAAGATGAACAAACTGGGTTTCGTTTTTTGTAATGAAGAAATGAAGAAATGAAGAAGCTCTGAACGAAAGAAATGAAGAAGATTTAGGGATTTTTAATTTTATTATAAAAACAACCTACGAAAGCGCTTTTAAAAAGCGCTGGCATAGGTCCCCCTTTCAAAGCGCTTCTGAGGTAAAAAGCGCTTTCGTAGGTCCCCCTTTCAAAGCGCTTTTCAAAAGCGCTGGCATAGGGTTCCCTACCAAAGCGCTTTTCAAAAGCGCTTTCGTAGGTTAGATATTTCAAATACCTATGAAAGCGCTTTCTGAAAAGCGCTTTGGTAGGGAACCCTATGCCAGCGCTTTTAAAAAAGCGCCTTCGTAGGTTTCCCTTTTTTTTAATTTTGTTTTTTGTGAAGGCTATGGCAGCGCTTTTTCAATAAGCGCTTTAGTAGAGGCGCTGCTAAAACTTGTTTTTGGCGTAGTGAGGATGCAAACGAAATTTGTGGGAGGATATGAAATTTTCTCACAAACAGTAACGTCGGTCCAAATAAACACTTGGTCAACAACAAGTATTTTCTCAAAATCAAACCATTTTAAAAATATTTTCATAACAAATGCACTCGAAGGACACATGCACTAAGTAGTGAAGAAGGAATGATTAAATGTATGTCCCTTTTTCTTAGTCCTATGACGCTTGTTGTATAGGTTATTGTATGAATGCTCACCTTCACTCATGAACTTTAGTTTTATTCGTGCTATATACTTTTGAAGTGAAATGGAGGAAAATGACTAGTTAGACATATGCTCCTCTTATGAAGATTTTAATAAAGACAAAGAAGAGTGATATCTTCTGCCCAAAAGTATAAACCATCTTTGAAAGAGAAAATAGAGAAACGGACAATATGCCATAAAAGTTATTTAATAACACATTCTTTTGGTTTTGATAGCGCTGAAAAAGCGCTATTAACCGTGCAGCTAATGTAAACAACTTTGTTTAATAGCACTTTAAAAGAGCTATTAAAGTACTAGTTTTTAATATAAAAATAATAATTAATTAAAATAATAAGTTTAAAGGAACCAAACGAAATTCGTGGGGGAAAATGAAAATTTTAGCACAAACTTTAGCGTCGGCCTGAACTGTCGCTAATATAAGAAAATTAGAATTAATTAAGACAATAACTAATAAGGAGGCAAACAAAATTTGTTATGGGAAATGTATTTTTTCATAAACAATAACGTCGGCCTGAACCCTCGCTAATATAAAAAATAAATAATTATTTAAGCCAATAAATAAAAAGGATGCAAACGAAATTTGTGGGAGGATATGAAATTTTCGCACACACAGTAACGTCGGTCCAAATAAACACTTCGTTAACACCAAGTATTTTTCTCGAAATCAAACCATTTTCAAAATATTTTCATAACAAATGCACTCGAAGGGCACATGAACTAAGTAGTGAAGAAGGAATGATTAAATGTATCTCCCTATGTTCTTAGTCCAACGACGCTTGTTGTATAGGTTATCGTATGAATGCTCACCTTCACTCATGAACTTTAGTTTTATTCGTGCTATATACTTTTGAAGTGAAATGGAGGAAAATGGCTAGTTAGGCGTATGCTCCATTTATGAAGATTCTGATAAAGACAAAGAAGAGTGATCTCTTCCGTCCAAAAGGGTAAACCAACTTTGTCAGACAAAATAGAGCAACAGACAATATGACATAAAAGTTATTTAATAACACTTTCTTTTATTTTTGTTAGCGCTGAAAAGTGCTATTAACCGTGCCGCTAATATAAACGATTTTGTTTAATAAAACATTAAAAGAGCTATTAAAGTACTAGTTTTTAATATAAAAATAATAATTAATTAAAACAATAAGTTTAAAGGAGCCGAACAAAATTCATGGGGGAAAATCAAAATATTAGTACAAACAGTAGCGTCGGCCTGAACTGTCGCTAATATAAGAAAATAAGAATTAATTAAGACAATAACTAATAAGGACGCAAACTAAATTTGTTATGGGAAATGAATATTTTTTCATAAACAATAACGTTGGCCTGAACTGTCGCTAATATAAAAAATAAATAATTATTTAAGACAATAAAGAAAAAGGAGGCAAACGAAATTTGTGGGAGGATATGAAATTTTCGCACAAACAGTAGCGTCGGTCCAAATAAAGACTTGGTAAACACCAAGTATTTTTCTCGAAATCAAACCATTTTAAAAATATTTTCATAACAAATGCACTCGAAGGACACATGCACTAAGTAGTGAAGAAGGAATAATTAAATGTATGTCCCTTTGTTCTTAGTCCGACGACGCTTGCTATATAGGTTATCGTATGAATGCTCACCTTCACTCATGAACTTTAGTTTTATTCGTGCTATATACTTTTGAAGTTAAATGGAGGAAAATGACTAGTTAGGCGTATGCTCCATTTATGAAGGTTCTAATAAAGACAAAGAAGAGTGATCTCTTCTGTCCGAACGGGTAAACCAACTTTGAAAGAGAAAGTAGAGCAACAGACAATATGCCATAAAAGTTATTTAATATCACTTTCTTTTATTTTTGTTAACGCTGAAAAGCGCTATTAATCGTGCCGCTAATGTAAACGATTTTGTTTAATAAAACTTTAAAAGAGCTATTAAAATACTAGTTTTTAATATAAAAATAATAATTAATTAAAACAATAAGTTTAAAGGAGCCGAACGAAATTCGTGGGGGAAAATCAAAATATTAGTACAAACAGTAGCGTCGGCTTGAACTGTCGCTATTATAAGAAAATAAGAATTAATTAAGACAATAACTAATAAGGAGGCAAACTAAATTTGTTATGGGAAATGAATATTTTTTCATAAACAATAACGTCGGCCTGAACCCTCGCTAATATAAAAAATAAATAATTATCTATCACAATAAATAAAAAGGATGCAAACGAAATTTGTGGGAGGATATGAAATTTTCGCACAAACAGTAACGTCGGTCCAAATAAACACTTGGTCAACACCAAGTATTTTTCTCAAAATCAAACCAGTTAAAAAATATTTTCATAACAAATGCACTCCAAGGACACATGCACTAAGTAGTGAAGAAGGAATGATTAAATGTATGTACCTTTGTTCTTAGTCCGACGACGCTTGTTGTATAGGTTATCGTATCAATGCTCACCTTCACTCATGAAATTTAGTTTTATTCGTGCTATATACTTTTGAAGTGAAATGGAGGAAAATGACTAGTTAGGCGTATGCTTCTCCTATGAAGATTCTAATAAAGACAAAGAAGAGTGATCTCTTCCTTCCAAATGGGTAAACCAACTTTGAAAGAGAAAATAGAGCAACAAAAAATATGCCATAAAAGTTATTTAATAACACTTTCTTTTGTTTTTGTTAGCGCTGAAAAGCGCTATTAACCGTGCCGCTAATATAAACGATTTTGTTTAATAAAACTTTGAAAGAGCTATTGAAGTACTAGTTTTTAATATAAAAATAATAATTAATTAAAACAATAAGTTTAAAGGAGCCGAACAAAATTCGAGGGGGAAAATCAAAATATTAGTACAAACAGTAGCGTCGGCCTGAACTGGCGCTAATATAAGAAAATAAGAATTAATTAAGACAATAACTAATAAAGAGGCAAACTAAATTTCTTATGGGAAATGAATATTTTTTCATAAACAATAACGTTGGCCTGAACCGTCGCTAATATAAAAAATAAATAATTATTTAAGATAATAAATAAAAAGGAGGCAAACGAAATTTGTGGGAGGATAAGAAAATTTCGCACAAACAGTAGCGTCGGTCCAAATAAACACTTGGTCAACACCAAGTATTTTTCTCGAAATCAAACCATTTTCAAAATATTTTTATAACAAATGCACTCGAAGGACACATGCACTAAGTAATGAAGAAGGAATGATTAAATGTATGTCCCTTTGTTCTTAGTCCGAAAGGGTAAACCAACTTTGAAAGAGAAAGTAGAGCAACAGACAATATGCCATAAAAGTTATTTAATAACACTTTCTTTTGTTTTTGTTAGCGCTTGAAAGCGCTATTAACCGTGCCGCTAATGTAAACGATTTTGTTTAATAAAACTTTAAAAGAGCTATTAAAGTACTAGTTTTTAATATAAAAATAATAATTAATTAAAACAATAAGTTTAAAGGAGTCGAACGATATTCGTGGGGGAAAATCAAAATATTAGTACAAAAAGTAGCGTCTGCTTGAATTGTCGCTATTATAAGAAAATAAGAATTAATTTAGACAATAACTAATAAGGAGGCAAACTAAATTT